GGGGGGGGGGGGGGGGGGGGCAGGCTGGGAGGCCTGGCCTGGCCCCACCCTGGGCCGTGTCACGGGCAGAGCTCCCTGCTCCAAGTTGGGGGACACTCTCAGCTCATGGGGAAGGCATCTGCATCGGGTTGGGCAGCCGTGACCCACCTCCAGGCAGGCAGTGCCTCCTCCGTGTGCTGCCCAGCGCAGATGACGATCCCAGCCTTACTGAGCATGTTCCTTGATGCTGGTTCCAAAGTAAACGCACTGATGCATTTGGGGCAGGAGCTGTCACCCACATGCCCAGGGCCCTGTGCGACCTGTAGCAAGTGGGCCTGGGCATAGTATTTTCCCGCTATCGTTGCCCGTGTCTCCTTTCCTTGCAGAAGCTATTCCGGCTCCCCGGGGGCCCAACCCTGACTTTCAGAGTCACTCAGGTGGGTGAGGAGTTGCAGCTACTATGACCTCTCCTGGCTTGGGCGGGAGGGGAACTATCCCAGCGACTCCCAGGCGTTTGCAGCTGTCCAGGAGTCTCTGCTGCCCCTGTTGGCACTACTAAGCCTCCCCACTCCCCTTCTCAGTACTCACTGATCAAGGACGTAGTGTCATCACTGAAGCGGCATCGCATGCACGAGCAGCAGTTTACCCACCACCCACTGCTGGTGCTCAACAACTTTGGGCTCCCGCAGATCCATGTCAAGCTTATGGCCACCATGCTCCAGAACATGTTTCCCTCCATCAATGTCCACAAGGTGAGTGCTGGGGCCAAGGGGTGTGGAGCATGGCCGGGGGAGGCATGGGGTCCTCATTTCTGTGGCTTACAGCTGGCTCTGCCCCTAGGTCAGCCTCAACACCATTAAGCGATGTGTGCTTGTCAGCTACAATACCGACACGCAGCTCCTGGATGTCCGACACTAGTAGGTGCTGGGGCTGCCCTATGACCTCATGCCTGGGGACTTTACTCAGCTGGAGGCAGTGATGAGAGTATAGTCTGCTGATGCATCTGTGATTTGTCCAGTAAACGCTCTGATGCCTTCCAGTTGTGGGAGTTGGGGTGGAGGGGATGGGACATGGCCTTGGTCTCATATCATGATGGAGGGGGGAAGGGGGCACCTTCTCATCCACTTGGTATTGTGGGGGGTGGGAGGCCGCAGTGTCCCGTAGGCAGGGCCCTACTATGCCTGGGACCCAGCACTGACCCACTACCACTCTCCCTGCAGCAGCCTGAAGGTTGTGCCTGTGGGGGTGAGCAAGGGCATGAAGAAGCTGCTGCAGGAGCGGTTTCCCAACTTAAGTAGACTGGAGGACATTAGTGAACTGCTGGTAAAGTGAGTGCACCTGCGGGGAGGGGGACCATGGGGATCCCTGCTGGTACAATAAACCTACCAAGTTGCTGCCAGGCCTAGCTGCTGTCACCTGTGCCCTGGGTAGTTCCCACAGCCTCTGCTCTCTGCGTGCCTCACAGGGCTGCACCTCTACAAGACGGGAGCAGTTAGAGGCAGGTGGAGGGGCTGGGAGCCAGGATGCTGGGGTCCTGTGGAGGTGCAGGCAACCCAATAATGCTTCACGGTCCTCATTCTTTCCCCACTTGTAGGGATGTGAACCTGTCAGAGAGCGAGGCTGAGCAGGATGGGGCTCATAACATCCTGGAGCTGCCCCAGGCCTACGCTGGACGTGGGAACATGAAAGCACAGCAGAGCGCTGTGCGCCTCACTGAGGTCTGTGCCTGGGGCAGGCAGGGAGGGGGCTGGGATGGGGGAAATAAGGGCCATCTGCCTGGCCAGCTGTGATGAGCAGAACTCTTGACCTAACTGTGATCTTCAAAGTAAATGTTCTGATCTGGCCATGCAGCCCTGGGGACTCCATGTTGGAGGGGCAGGGGCTGGCAGCATTGGGATAAGGGCTGTGGGGCCCCTCATCTGATGGCTTCTGCCCCCTCCCCACAGATCGGCCCACGCCTGACCCTGCAGCTCATTAAGGTGGAGGAGGGGCTGGGCCAAGGCAATGTGCTCTACCACAGCTTTGGTGAGTGCACCTTTCACACCTCACTTCCCTCTGCCCTGCAGGGCTGAATGTGGGTCTCACCTACCTCTGCCCCCCCCCCCCCCTTCCTTTCCTCAGTGCACAAGATGGAAACTGAGGTGCAGGAGATGCTCGCCCGCAGGGAGGAGAAGTTGCGGCTGAAGGCTGAGCGGCGCCGCAAGCAGGAGGCTGATGTGGACCGCAAGCAGCAGCAGCGGGAGGAGAACAGGTGGGGTGGGACTCTGGGGAGGGAGCAGGAGTAGGGCCTGGGCAGAGGCTGAGCCTCATACCCTTTGGTTGCAGGAAGAAGAGCCTGGAAGGGATGAAGAAAAAGAAACAGCAGCAGGCGCAGGACAGTGACAGTGATGCAGAGGATCCTGGGATATCGGAGGACCCGGATAGGGCTGGGACATCAGATGATGATGCTGAGTACTATCGGGAGGCTGTGGGTGAGGAACCCGACAAAGGTGAGAGCTGTCTTACACTACACTGCCCCCAGGACTGAGAGTACTGCCCTAGATGCAGCTGATGACACTAAAGTGACTGAGCAGGTGCTGTGACTTCAGTCCAAAGTAAACGCACTGATGCATCTGTGCCTAGACAGCGAAAGAAGGGCCTCAGCCCTGACCATCTCAGCCCTGCATTGACTAGCCAATTTTCTTTCCCTCTAGATCTGTTCCCAAAAAGTGCCAAGAGGAAGCAGGGGCTCTTGCGGCCCCACAGGCCCAACAAGAGACTCCGCCCCAGCCCCCCAGGGCACCTATCCACAACCCCGCCAGGCAGAGCTGGCCCCAAGGCTAAGAGGAAGAGGCCTCCAGGGCCCTGGCCGCAGCAGGACTCCCAGGGGCGGCCAAAGCAGAAAAGACCCAGGCATTTGGGGCAGCAGGGCCCCAAGCTCCCCAGTGTGAAGCTGAGGACAGGACTGCTGGGCCAACGTGGGAAAAGCGCTGTGCGGAGGCCTGGACAGCCCAGACAGGGACGATATTAGCACGACCTCTGTTCATGGAGGTGGGGGGAGAAAGCACCCCACTTTGTTGTATGCACAATACACCACTTGCAGCAAGGTCCATGGTCTGCATCTGCTTGAGTTGTGGGGCTGCAGCTCCTGAGAGCTCCACAAGCCTGCAGCTCCCAGAAGTGGGGAGCTGAAAGCCTCCCCACTGCAGTAGTTGGGGGGGGGGGGGGCTGGCATAGTGCGTAAGCCCTGTTCTTCCGCCCTGTGGTTGCAGCAGAGGGAGGAGGAGTCACTTCCTGCTCCAGGGGCCTCTTCCTTTCCTTGCAGCGGGCAGCTGCACTGAGCAAAGTGCCCAGGCCACCATCTGCAGTGCCAGGTAAGGGGCTGTTAGTTGGGTGGGGGTGGAGACCCGTATCCTGCTGTAGGCTCAGCCCTGGGGTAGTTTTGGGCCCATGGGTTAGGAGCTGAGATCCTGGGGAGAAAACATGGGCCACCCCATCCCCACATGGCCCTGGGGCAGCAACTTACCTGCAGCAACTGAGGCCTCTGTCCTATTCCCCAGGGAAAGGAGCAAGTTTCCCAGCAGCTGGTCACACCAAAGTGCCCCAGGGCCCCTATGCAGGCCCCCCACCCCCCTCTTTTCCCTGCTGCACCCTAGCAGGGTGCAGAAGCACATGATATGGCCCTGTTCTGGGCCTCCCTAACCCCATCCCCTACTCCCCCAGACAGCATGGCAGCTGTGGCCAAAGGCCCCACTAAGGGCAACTGCAGCCTCTCCCGCTTCAGTGACTTCCAGGAGCAGCTGTGGCCAGTGCTGGTGCTGGAGTTCGTGGTAGCTGTGGTGGGCAACGGAGCAGCACTGCATGGACTGGCCAGGCAGGCACAGCCCTGGCATGCAGGCACCATCTTTGCATGCCACCTGGCCACTGGCGACCTGCTGTATGCCCTGGCGCTGCCTGCACTGGCTGCCTACTACTACCCACCCAAACACTGGCGGTATGGCTTGGTCCTCTGCAAGCTTGAACGCTTCCTCTTCACCTGTACTCTCTATGGTGGCATCTTCCTTGTAGCCTGCCTCAGCCTGCTGCGCTACGCTGCCTTGGTGCACCCGTTGGCAACCCGTGGCCGCTTAAGCCTGCACCGTGCCCACCTGCTCAGTGGGGCCGTGTGGCTGCTGGCAGCCATGCTCTCAGCACCCACACTGCACTTCTCAGGACTACAGCTGCACCCAG